GATTGTGGTTTCTAGAAACTAACCATAACATTCTGAGAATAAAAAAGCATTTTAGAGCCAAATCAATCTTCTCATTCTTAAAAAATATATATAGATATACACTGATCAAGTGGGAAAAAAAAAAAAAAACAACATTCCTTTTGTTGTGTTTTTGTATTGTATTTTAAGATAACACCTCCAGGCTTTTTGAGTCCAACGCTAAATCTGTCGATAGTCACCACCCTCTGGTTTAGGAAGTAACTGCTTGTTCCACTGTATATCCCTATCTGATAATGTTAAAGAAAATCCTTTAAATATCCAGAATATCGAGAATGATAGATAAAAAAAAAAAAAAACTTCAACAGGCCCCGCCCACTAATGATGTCATCAGGCCGTCAAAGCCTGATGACATCATTAGTGGGCGGGGCATAACGGCACTGATGATGTCATACATTCCATTTCCTTAGAATCCTATCCTATAGAATCTCTGAGTCATTTCAGCTGAGACATCTTATCAGTGAGGTTGGTATATTTTTGCTCAGAGCTTTTTTGGTTTTAAAGTGCAAGGAAAATCTCAAAATGACTTCCCGAGGTAAGAATGGGGTTTTCTCTCACGTAAGACAAGAGTTTAGGAGAAATATTCAAAAACACAGGAGACTGAACGAACATCTTGAAAAGGGTTTGTCTGAAACAATGCACCCTGATGTGGAAAAAGAAGTGAAACCAATAACTGCTGATCAGCAAACTAAGAAACAAGAATTTTCAGAGTCACTAGATAAAATGTGTGACATGGATTGTGAGGAATCAGGTCTTTTACCTGTGAGTGAGACATGTCAAGAAAGGCAAACAGAGGACACAGTAGATGAGGAAATAAATTTTGATGACATTTTAAGTCACAGGCCTTCAGAAACGGACACATCAGATGAGGAGGATGATTTAAATGACGTTTCACTTACATTACCTTCAGAAATGGATGAATATGAAAGGGAACCCATAACTGCTGACCAACAAACTAAGAAACAAGAATTTTCAGAGTCACTATATAAGATGTGTGACATAGACAGCGAGGACGCAGGTATGTCACCAGTGAGTGAGACAGGTAAAGACAGGCTGTCAGATGACTCAACAGATGAGGAGGCAGATTTCGATGACATTTCAATTGACTTGCTTTCCGATACGGATGAATACGAAAGAAAACCGATAACTGCTGAGCAAAAAACCAAGAAACAAGAGTCCAGATATAAGATGTCTGACATAGGCGATGAGGAACCAAGTCTGTCACCAGTGAGTGAGACACACCAAGGAAAGCAATCAGAGGACACATCAGATGGGGAGGCAGATTTTGATGACGTTTCACTTGAAATATCTCCAGAAAGGGACGAATATGAAAGGGAACCGTCTATATGTGACATAGACGGTGAGGAACCATGTCTGTCACCACTGAGTGTGACAGGTAAAGACAGGCTGTCAGATGACTCAACAGATGAGGAGGCAGATTTTGATGACGTTTCACTTGAAATATCTCCAGAAAGGGACGAATATGAAAGGGAACCGTCTATATGTGACTTAGACGGTGAGGAACCAGGTCTGTCACCACTGAGTGAGACAGGTAAAGACAGGCTGTCAGATGACTCAACAGATGAGGAGGCAGATTTTGATGACGTTTCACT